ATTCAAGCTGATAATTCAAAGTGGTGGGACTTAGCTGCAGTCATAATCATCCTCATATCGCTTAGAGTTCTTTTCTTTCTTATTCTGAAATTTAAGGAGAGAGCTGCACCTTTCCTTTATGGTATCTACGCCAAGCAAACACTGCACCGTATTAAGAAGCGACCTTCGTTCAGGAAAGCACCATCTTTCCCTTCAAAGCGTCACCAGTCACCACATCCCTTGTCTTCTCAAGAGGGTCTCAACTCCCCTATTCATTAGAACCATCATTGCTGATACAAACACAAGAATCACATCATACCCCGAACATTATTGTATATTGGGGAATACTTTGTTTTGACATTATAAACATAAGAACGGGAACACGTAGTATTATGGTTTCAGGTCAGGTATACAACGTAGTCAAGGGTACCAAAGGCCGAATCTCAATAGGAACAGATAAATTAAAGAAAAGAATAAAAAATAAAAAAAAAGTTGTGGCTAGTAGTGTCCCATAACGTTCTGTAGAAGTTATTTCTACTTGCCAGTTCACTGTTTACTGTTAGCACAGGATAGTGATGGCTACTGAAATTGGTCTTCGCCTACTCCCTATTCCAGACTATTGCCCATTGGACACAGCACGAAAAGCACATGAATAATGGAATCAAGGTTTCCACAGTAGCAGATGTTGAGTTACTTCCATTCCACTTATAGCTCTTCTTCTCACTTTGGTGTTTAGTCAGCCAACATGGGCCAACCAAACAAAACCTCAGCGTTAAGGAGCTTCAATTTTTGAGATTTTTCCCAATAGGATCCGGGTAGTCAGAGTTCCCGTTATGCATTTTACAATAGGCACTATTAACACTAAACCAACCCTAGCCTTGATACCTTACAAGAGGGATATCATTAGATTACCACGTGAGCATAGGCTTGCTCGTTGTTATTTCCTTTGGGGGGAAGTGACCAGACAAAGGATTTGCGGATGATACTGACATTACGTATCTCCAATAGAACAATATTAAGACAACACCAAAGGAAGAAACTACAATACATATGATTGAACACATGAAATTTTTTTATGTATTTCACGTAGCCAATTTCTCTCTTTCAGAAGTTTACACCACTAATCTAAATGTTTGTGAATCAATTTTACTACCAACTAAACATTGAAGTAGAATATGAAGCCATCCATCTGTGCATATGAACTTAACAATAAATGCAACCCTCATCACTCTTTCTAGGATTTCTTCTCATTAGCCTCTCCAATTTCAACTCGATTGTCAAAACCATGATAAGGAACTTCAATCATTGGCCTGGGAATAGGCCGTTCATTGAAATCCTCAGGAAAGCATTCAAAGTCAGGACCAAAGTTGAACTTGACTGTGCAGTTTGGTTCATTGGGAAGAGTAAACATTGAAGCAGCAGGATAGTAACGGCCACCTTGAAGATCCTTGAAAGCTACACCTTGGCATATGCCATTTTTAAAGAATGATATCTCACTTCCTGCACAGAGAATAGAATATTTGGAAGCAAGTTAATATTTACAAATTGGATGCATAAAATACAACTTGCATTACAGCAAGGGAAATTCAAAGTTTGTACTACAAGTACAATGGAACAATAATCACAATCAAGCCAATTTCCTGCTAATTGGGGTCATATAAATGATCAAATAATATCATTGTAAATTATGTACTATATGCAAGCAAGCAGATATTAAATGTCAACAGCATTTTCAATTGTCGGAGCATGACTAATGATGGGCTCTGACAATCTGATTTGCTATGAAGGTTCCCGAGTCACTGACAAGCACCCCTAACTTCCACTCTGATAGAACAGCAATTGATAAAGTAATAAAATATAATATTGAACTCTGAAATCACACATAATATAGCAGTACACTTGCCGTCTCGGAGACAAAAGTCTCCTACAGACAGTATTTCTGTTCACAAACTACAAATAACTTCACACAGCATAATCACACAACCTCCTATCAGATATATACTCCTAAATCCTAATAAATAACTACCAGCAGTTAGCATCTACACATAACTGTCATCCTGCAGTTTCTAATACAGAAGTAACTACCAGCCATTATTTCTTACACATAATCGTCATCCTGGAGTTTGTAAACCGTTTTGCAAAATGATGTCCCTCCCGCCTCCTCTCCAATTGGCTGTTGCCCAATAAGAAGTATTTAAATGTAGCTCAATGTTTGACCTAGCTTAGCTTTTCTTGGGCTTCTCTTCTCATTAAAGTAAAAACTCCTCCAATTAGCTTCTATAGAAGCTCTATTTTTTGGCCTTTTGTTCATTAAAAAAAAAAAAAATACTATCTTTTGAGCTTTTGTCATTTAAAAATTAAAGCAAAAAAACTACTATTTATTTTTAGGATCTACGTATGTCCATATCCAAATTCCAAATATAGCACATCCATGATCAGTCCAATCAACAAGATTTGAGCTCGGAAGAATGAAATAACACAGTTTAGTAGTTTGAATTGTACTGAGACATTGTTCTCAAATGACCATTTACCTGAATGAAAATGGAGGAGGCATAAGAGAATTTCCTCATTTTCCAGTTCTGTGCATAACTCTAACACATGTTTACCAAATTTTAGATGATGTTTTGGTGTTTCTACTTACTCTTGTTACAGTAAAAAAAATGAATAAAAAGACATGAAAACCTTATGGTCAAATTTCACTCATTTCTGCTACATGTTTCTTGACTGAAAAGGGTGGAAATTTTGAACAAATTTTCTCATCTCTGTTTCTATCTTCTCTCTCAAGTTTTGTCTCTGTCATCTTTTTTGTTTGTTTTCTCTCCGGAGGCTCTAGTCTCTGTTTTATTAAATCTCAGACACTGTTTCTGGCCGCTTCCATAATAAATGTGTCTCTGTTTCTGGCTTTTTCAGTATTTCTCAGTTTCTTTTATATTATGCAAATCAAACCATGTGTTTCTGACTATTTCTTGGTTTCTTCGTGTGCAAGATATCATCATCGCACAATCAGTATCTATGGTAGCCCTAATATTTCATTTTCACATGGTTTCGAGCTTTTACTAGCTAGAAAACGTTTTTATTATATTTATTGTACTTAGCAGACATAAGTTGTTAACTTCCTTTTGTCTCCATTTCACCGGTCCTTTTTGTGTATTTTACATTTTTTTAACAAGGTTTCCTAGCTTCTGCCACTAGAAGCTTCAGCATCCATTTCGTGTCTATGACAGAATTTTGGCCACCACTTATCATTGATAAGTGATAACTTGGCAACATTGAGCTTCACATACTCTAGGACACAAAATGGAATCGTTAACCCAATCACAATCAAACAATCCCGAGTTAAAAAATAGGTTGTCAAGCCAAATCTCTCCCTCCCAACACCCTAAAAACATAGACAGTCAACATGGCCCTCAAACACTAAACTAGCAACAATAATCAATCAGGCACTAGCATGTTCACTTTAAAACACTAATCACCATGCACCAAATCCAACAATCCAATCCTATTGCTCATCTAAGCCTACACATACCAATCAAAAGTTCCACAACCCTAATTGAAAAAGACAAAGCAAAATGATGAAATCCAAGTAGCAATGTTGAGTACTGACCAGGCACAACTTGGGGCGGATCCTCCTTGGAATCCTGAGCACAAACATACCGCTGGCCCTTATACCACACCATATGGGGAGCTTTGGGGGCATACTTTTCCCCATCAGGCAAATTGATATAGAAACCAATAACATCCCCTTCCTTATACCCTTCCTCTCCATACTTCTCCCTAAGAGCCTTATGAATCTTACTCCCATCAATATCCCTGTACCCGAAACTGTTCCCATCGTACCCAACCGGAGCCTGCAAATCACCCTTCTCAGTGCTCCACCCAAGGCGCGTGTGCCCACTCTCCCCCAACTTCAAAACCTTAATCTCAAAGTACCACGCGCCCTCCGCGACCCCGCGCGTGGCCCTCACCATTCTGTAACCCTTGGTGCTCCCCGCACTCATTCGATCCTCGCTCAGTTCAACCTTCTCCGCTTTGTAAACCTTCGAGAGGCAAATCTTCATCTCCGACGTGTCGTCGCTCTTGTCCGGGAACCGCGGCACCGGCGTGATCAGCACGTTGTCCTCGCCGTTCGCGTTGTTGCCGTTGTTGTTGTTGTTGCTACTGCCTTTGTTCTTCTTCTTCCCCTTCCGCGTCGACTTCGTCGCCCACACGTTGTTGTTCTTCTTCTTCGATTTCTTCGGCGCCGCGCCGTTCGCCGCCGGAGCGGCGGCCGCCGCCA